TTTGAATTATGGGTCACTATTAATTTTATATACAAATAATGTTAGTGAGTTTATTAGAGATATTATGAAGAAAACAATAAAATGTTAACTAACAATTAAATTTATATATAGAAAACCGAGACAGCTACAATGCCAAGGATCTGTTGAAAAAGAAAATGATATACTGTAATCAAAATTGGAATCATAGATAGAGAAAACCAAATGTATAAATTGGAGTATTAGATTGTCCTTTGTAATATATGAGTATTTTTATTATAAATATTAATATCTATTATATAATAATTAAATTTATTATAATTATATAAATTAGGAATAATAAATACACAAATATATAAAGCAATAAAAATTACATCTTATCAATTAGTATTTGAACAAAAAGCTTGTTCAGATTTATCAATAATTTTAATGTTTCATCAGCAAAGTATAATATATGAACAAAATATACTATTAAAAAACTAATTATCAAATTTTAATTATAAAGGTTTTATTTAAAATTTATAAATTTTATAAATAATTAATATATATAATTTAATTAATTTACTTAATTTATATATAATATAGATATATTATTATCAGATTTTATTCATTATGATATTATTTACAATGATATTACTTATAATAATATTATTCACAGTGATATTACTTACAACAATATTACTCATAGTAATATTATTTATGACAATATTATTCATAACAATATTATTCACAACAATACTACTCATAATAATATTACTTATGATGATACTATTTATGATGATATTACTTATGATAATATCACTTATGATAATATTATTTATAATAATATTATTTACATCAATACTACTCATAATAATATTATTGACAATGATATTATTTACAATTAAATTACTCATGATAATATTATTTGTAATGATATTATTTACAATAATATTATTCACAACAATATTATTCTTAATAATATAACTCATGATAATATTACTCATAACAATATTACTTATAATGATATTGAATCATCTGATTCTATTTATGAAATTATTGATTTATATAATTCTATTAATAAAAATATTGATACTGAATTGTTCAATTCTATTCTCAAAGATGATTATCTAATTTAATTTCTGAAAATATGTAATATAGTTTATATATACATCAATAATATTGTACTAATTTAGTTATCTAATTTATAAAAATTTTAGTATTAATGTTTTCAAACCATAGTAATAATAATAAAATAATTATAATTAGTGATAATAAGGAGAATGATCCTGAATTTAATAATTACTATGTAATAAAAGATAAAAAAAATAAAGAAATTAAACAAAATAATAATATAAATTTATCTGCTCTGACAAGTATATTTTTATTTTATTATAAAATTTATTGTAGATATATTTATATATTAATATACAACTTTTATTAGAATAATAATATAAATTTAGATAAAGTTCCATCATCAGTTATATCATTTGAAACAAATACATTAGCTGAAAATTCATCTCATGCAAGTTTTAATCAACATGTACAATTAAGAAAGACAGCAAATAGATATATTACTCAAAATTATTAAATTATTTACAATCTTATGGAAAAAATATAAAGTTAAAAAACATTCATTAAATTTCAAACTAGGAGATCTTATAAAGATCTGAATTCCTGATATTGATAGATTAAAAATGAACAGACAAGAGTACCATGTAAGGTTATTCAAAAAAAGCCAAATCATGACTCTTATCAAGTTGGTTGTAAATTTGATATTTTGAATACTTGGTTTTTAGCAAATGAATTAGAACCATTGAGGACTGATGATTTTCTGAACCTTGACATAATTCCAATGGACAAATTTATTTCTTTACAAAATGCTGGTTCTCAACAAAACTTAACCAGACTGATAAAACCACTTCAAAATATTACAAATGAAGCATCTAATCAAGAACATGTACAAGATACAAGAGATGATGATTGCTGATGTACTAAAAAAAATTGTGAAACTAAGAACTGTTCTTGTCGAAAAAACAATGCTCTTTGTACTTTTCATTGTAGTTGTGTGTGCAGAGGTTTATGCAAAAATCATTAAGTTTTTCTTATGCTAAATATTCTTTATGTTCTGTACTAGCTTAGCATTTATTATCAACAAAAAATGTTTTATCGCTCGTTAAATAGATTTCAATAGCATACGTAAATAGGAAAAATTAGTGTAAATGCAATAATGTCGATGTTGTAGCATAAAAAAAAATGATAAAATTTTTTTTATCATCAATCAGTAAATTTATACCGATTAAAATATGAAGTACATTATTTCATGATTTTGAAGCCAAGTACATTAATTTTTAATTGATGGAAATTCGAAAGTAAAATCTAACATACACAGGTATATAGAACAGTCGATCAGAATGCAAGATCTGGTGTACCACAAAATTATCTTCAAAAAATTGTTTATTGTTATATCTTAAGATATCTATTATGAAACCACCTTTCGGGTTCTAACAAAAAAAAATAAATTTGGTATAAGCCATTGTCCTACTCTAACTGTAAACCTATCTTACCCTAACCTTAAGCGAGGTTTACTTTTTTTTTCTTATAAAATTACTGTTACGTGGTTTGTAAATCGAAACAAGCGTACATATACACTACGGGTAAACCAATAAAAGTTTCTTTTTACAATCTGACTAATTTCAGTCACGTATCGGTATGGGCGGATTTCGTCGATCTTGGCATCGATTAATCATGAAATTTGTTTTGTCGGAGCAAATGATTGGTTGATATGTACTGCGTAGCGGCACGTTTCAGCCAATTATTTGCTCCGACAGAACAAATTTTGTGATATTTATCAACGCATAACTCAATATTTGTATTATCCGGCAATTCATCAAGTCGTTATTGGCTAACTGAGTTTTAATTTGAATAAGCATAATTACGATATAACAAAAAATAACAAAGAAATAAATCTATGATCATAAGAGTTTGCCGGATAACAATTCATAAAGTTCGATCCAATCATTTATGAATGTCGCGAAATTGCCGATACTTCACATAATTTTGCAAATCGCAAATATTAATAATAAAATTGAATTGTATGAATTGTATTGATTGGTCAATTGTCTTCTAAGTTATGAATTGCATATGAAACCGCCATAAAATTGTTTATAAAATCAAACATATTTGATTAGTTAATTGTATACTTGCTTATTAACATTGTTGATATACGTAGCAATATATTTTGGAGTTCCCATCAAAATTTTTGCCAGTCGGGTGTCAACTTTACACGACAATTACATAAGAAAGACAACCATGTACACTGCTAGTGATCATAAATTGGTTGTTCTAAAGTTAAAAACAACTGTAAATTGTTCTAGACATTAAGCGACAGTAATGCGAACGGCCAAAACTTTGGTGTACCAAAGCATTAAATTGAAATTGTTATATGAAATCATGGAACATTTTGAATTTCGTCTTCGCCGAAAGTCTATTTTCAGTCGGCAACGTTAATTTGTTAATAAATGATACAGAGTTAGTTCAAAAATATTAAATTGCGTTTTCATATTGTGTTTCATTTTACTAAAATAATAATCTAGTGTAGCATGTTATCGAAGTCGTCTTGACCAATTTTTACATACTACTATTATTTGAATAATTCTATATTTCGAATTTCTATTTCTATTAGCAATAAACAACATTTAGGAAAATGAACGTCGTTAATTTACGGAGCATTGTTTTGTTTTATAATACCCTCGCATCGTTCCACCATCGCTATACGTAGTATTATGTGGTCAGTGATTATTTTTCACTGAACGTCTTTTTTTTTGAACAGTATTTTGTAAGTTGTACGCACAATTATAAATAGTTGCTCATATATTTTTCGCACAGAAAAAGTTTACAAACTGTACAGTATTCGTACAATAAATTTTAATTGAAGATTAACACTGCTGTAGACTATGATCCAATACAGTACAATAATAACTCAATAATTTTTACGTGTAATCAATGCTACAGTAATTGACTGAAATATAGGGTGCGGAAACAAATGCATAAATAAATTTTGGGCATAAAAAAATTTTTTATCATGTCTAGATCCAGGTCCCCAACTGAAATGCATCAGATCATCGGTTGGACACGTTTTTTCTACTGCTACATAGCTTTTACAGAGCATCCCCTGCTTCGTTCCAGACGAAAATAAATATTCCTATTTTATTATTTACCACTACAGCACTATAGAACGTCCTACGCTTTTGCTCCGACAATAAAACTTAAAAGGACTTGTTTATAACTTTTAATAGTAAAAATGATAAATTTGGCAAACATTTAAATTATATATAATTGGTTCTTATAGTGAAATAAAATCTCCTTATTGGTTTATAATCATGTGATTCTACTCTCCAAGTTTGGGCTTGAGGGTTTCGGGTATTCGGTGTTTCGCATTTGTTTTTTTAGAAAAATTTGGAATGATCTGCATGATCGGCACGATTTATTATTTCCGAATATTACAGTATTAGTTTTTTAGTCCGTGATTTACTAGCCAAACATAACCTGCACGTATTGTTCTCGCCAATTTGAAACATCTTGATCATGCATGAATTACAGTAACTTTGACAAAACTATCGTTCTTGATTTTTCTCTTTAAATCCTTATAAGGAATACTATAAAGTAATATGTCAAAAATAGTACATCAAGAATAGTATTCTGCAGAGTGTATGATGAAAAAAAAAACATGCATCTTAGAAATACAAAAAAATTTTTGAATAATCAGAATATTCGAGATTATTTAAACAAATTTCACTTTTTTTTTTTCTTCTTATTTCTTTATTTCTTAATAATAAACAAAACTTTACATTGTTGTAAAGTGGTTGATTGGCTTTAAGAAAAATGAAGGAAAAATTTAACATCCAAGGATCGAACATATCGAAAGTAAGAATAAATCATAACAATAAAGTAACTTATTTAACAACAAAGTTATGAGATGCCACTTACTAAACGAAAACTATATCTCTCTCTTTTAGCCGATAATACATAATAGTTACAATGGAATGTTTTCAAACTCTGACACTGGAAAACTTGATGATCCAAAGGAAGCTATTAGCAGGGCTAATAATTTAATGAAAGATTTCAGCGAACCATCCAATTTATTTGAATTTAAACTTTTGGTCGAAGATCTTAGATTAAAGTTTCCTGCAAAACTATTAATCAACGCACTTAAACTGTTGAGTGATGTCTCCTTATTTGATTATTATACAGAAGATATCATTGCTCATTTCGAATTACATCTTCGTACTTGGGCGGCAACTCTTGAAAAAGTTATCTATTCTACTATTGTATTGAATCAGGAATTCTATGACAAACTTTATAGTAGCTTAGTTAGTTTCATCGATATTCATTATCATATAACATTATTTTTTAAGCAACAAGTTAATCTTGATAACGCCGGTGACGATTATTCAAATTTTCAAAATTATAACATTAATTTCTTATTAATTCACTTACGTGACTGTTTACACAGTATACGCAAAAATGAAACTAGTTCGGATGAATTCTTACGTTATGGGAAAGATTTTCTTTTAAAACTCATTCGCATTACACCTAACGCTAATGGTGATGCTTCCGAAAATATTCCGGAAATCTTTGGAGGTTCACCTGTCGTTGAAACTTTACCAAAACTTAATGGTTTCTTAAATTTCAAACATTCCGTCCCTAAGTGGTATCAAAAATGGCGAGAGTTCTTATTTATTCATTATTCCTTAGAAGATTTAATTAGGGATTCAAATCATGGTATTTTACAATACCATAATAACGCTTATATTTTGGAATTTTTTTGGCAATACATTTTTGATCCCGATCTTGATCAATCCGAGTTAGAAGAAGACGTCACAGAAATTTTATGCAGTCAAGAGGATTTTTCAAGTCTTTTTATTGAGTATAGACTCACAGATTTACCCTACTTCCTATGGTTTGGTATATTAGATTTTGCTCAAAATCTATGTCATAAAATTTCACAACCGACCATCTTAACGTTTTTTTATCACCTAAGTCTTGAAGTATTGAAAAAATCTCAATTTGAATATCTTCAATTCAAATCTTTGGAATTACTTTTATACTTATCTTATAAGGAACCCGAATGGTTTAAGAATTTGGTTCATAAAGAAATCAACAAATATTATGAATCATTACCAAAAGATTCTATGCAAAAATTTAAGGATCTTGTCGATAATGTAAATTTAAAACTTCAATTAGACAAGAAATTTATTAAAACTATTATACTTCCATCAAATTACAACAAAGAATCTTGGCTCTTTAAGGAGAAATTGTCGGCAAGAAAAAGTGATACTCTATTTAAAGAAATTTTTATAGAACAATTAACGTGCCCAGTTACTGGTGATTTAACTAGTGATTTTCTTATTTTAGGATGTAATCATTTAATTAGTTATAATGCTATAAGGTTAATTTCGGTAGAAAATAAAAATTCAAAATGCCCTTTTTGTAAATCTGAAATCAAATTAGAATCGATATATAAGCTTTCAAGAAATGCAACACTTAAAGGTCTTTTTAAAACATTAGAACGAGCTGGTAATTCAAATACTTTAATGGAAAATCAACAATTAAAAGCAGAATTGAAAATTTTACCATCAAAAATTACGCTTTCAACATTCAATAGAGCAATTAAAACCTTACGACAACATGAATATTCAACAGCAGTAATGTGGTTAACTCGAATTCTACATTTTTATCCAAAAAGTTATTCAATTCGATGTAAAAGAGCATTTGCATCTTTGAAAATTGAAATGTATTCACAAGCTTTGGATGATCTCACGATAGCAATTCAATTAAGACCAACCAAATCACTTGCTTATATTTATAAATGTCATATAAATCTTATCGAAAAAAATGATGTTGATGCATTAAAAGATATAGAAACAATTCTAAGAATCGATCCTGAAAATATAAACGCAATATTATATAAATCAAAAATTTATTCCAACGAAAAGAAATTTAATGAAGCAAGACATGAAATTAAAAAAGTTATAAATCAAATTAATTACCCTCATCCGATCATATCAAATTTATTCGAAAAGTTTAATAGGCCAAATAAAATGATTTTTGGATTAGGAAATTCTTTACCTATTCAACTTTATGATATGGATCACGCTACAATATCCGGATACGTTTTATTACAATCATGTAATAATAAAGAATTAATAATGTCATGTTGTGATCAAGCTATTAAAAATGATGAAAAAAATATAATCGCTATTGGGATCAAAGGTGTATTATATTATATAATGGGATCTTTCGGTAAAGCTTTAATTAATTTTCAAGATGTTTTAGAAATAGATCCAAGTCCAATTGCTTTAGAATGTTATGAAAAAACCTATCAAATGCTTCAAATTTATGATCATAAATGGCTTAAAAAATTAAATAAGTTAGTTCGATTAAATATAAATCAAACAAATATTTTTAATTCACATCAAAAAAATGAATTAATGATATTTAAAGATCAAGATGAACATTTTATACGACTTAATGTAATGTTAGATACTAATCCTAATAATTCATTAGCATTAGAAACTCGTGGATTAATTTATTTTGGATTAGGTAAATTTATAGATGCTCTTTCGGATTTAAATAAATTAATGGAAATTAAATCAAATAATGCTTCTACATTAAGATATCGAGGTGCAATTTTTTATATGATGAATAGATTTAAAGAATCTCTTTCAAATTTAAATAGATCTTTAGATATTGAACCAAATAATGCTTTCGCATTAAGAAATCGTGGTGCTACTTTACGTATGTTGAATAGGCATGCAAAAGCTCTTAATGATTTAAATAAATCATTAATAATAGAACCAAATAATGCATTTGCATTAATGAATCGTGGTGCAACTTATCGATTAATGAGTAGATATGAAGAAGCTCTTATGGATTTAAATAAATCTTTAAGATTAGAACCTGAGGATGCATTTGCTTTAAGAAATCGTGGTGCTGTTTATTGTATGTTAGATAGATATGATGAATCTCTTATTGATTTAAATGAATCATTAAGAATAGAACCAAATAATGCTTTTGCTTTAAATAATCGTGGTGCAACTTATCGACTTTTAAATAGATATGAAGAATCTCTTGCTGATTTAAATAAATCATTAAAATTAGAATTAAATGATGTATGGACTTTAAGTGATCGTGGTGCAACTTATCGTTTAATGAATAGATATAATGAAGCTCTTGCTGATTTAAATAAATCATTAGAGATTAATCCAAATAATGCTTGGACATTAAGTGTTCGTGGTGATACTTATCGTATGTTAGAAAGATATGAAGAATCTCTTGCCGATTTAAATAAATCTTTAGCAATTGAACCAAATAATGCTGATACATTAAAATTTCGTGGTGAAACTTATTGTAAATTAGGAAGATATAAAGAAGCTCTTGAAGATTTAAATATTTCTTTAGAAATTGATCCAAATAACGCTTTTGCTTTAAAAGTTCGTGGTGCAACTTTTCGACTTATGAATAGATATCGAAGTGCTCTTGTAGATTTAAATAAATCTTTAAGAATTGAACCTAATAATTCTGATGCTTTAAAATTTCGTGGTGAAGTTTATTGTAAATTAGGAAGATATGATGAATCTCTTGATGATTTAAATAAGGCTTTAGAAATTGAACCAAATAATGTCTTTTCTTTAACTAATCGTGGGGTGGCTTATAAATCAATAAATAAATTTGATGAAGCTCTTGTAGATTTAAATAAATCATTGGAAATCGATCCAAATAATGCCGATGCATTAAAATTTCGTGGTGAAGTTTATTGCAAGTTAGGAAAATATAAACAAGCTCTTATTGATTCAAATCGATCTTTGGAAATTGAACCAGATGATGCCTTTGCGTTAAAAGTTCGAGGTGCAACTTATCATATGTTGGATAGGTATGAAGAATCACTTGCCGATTTAACTAAATCATTGGAACTCGAACCAGATGATCCGTTTGCTTTAAGAAATCGCGGTGCGACTTATCGTATGCTGAGTAGATATGAGGAAGCGCTTGTAGACTTGGATAAGTCATTAGAACAGGAACCTGATAATGCATTTGCGTTAATGAATCATGGTGCAATTTTTTATTGATGGGATTAAAAAAAAAATGATTATGTAAGCTTGTTTTTAAATAACGTTAGGCTTTTGTTTTTGATAAAATTTTTTAAGATCTAGTTTTTTGTTATATAAAATGCTTGTTTGATTAATTTTTTGATTCTACTTGGAACATTGTATTTTAATTGCTATCCAACACTTTGTATAAATAATAATTTTAATAAAGGTTTTTAAAAATTCTGTATCTTTTTTTTTCTTACTGAATAAAAAAAATATTGTTCATAACCTACTTGTCCCATTTTTCATGATCCACTCTTAAAAATGTTCTTAATCAAACTGTCATATCATGTGTAAAGATGTGTCATGTACAGTACTACCGTATTTATGCAAATTAACACCTGGGGCGTTATTTAGAGACTTACAAGTTTCAGAGAAAAAATCATCAACTTAAAACAAATAATTTTCCAATTCTAATGTTATAATTTTATTTATTATTTATTAGTCCGGTTAACAAAATGACTATAGAAATGCTTATCACTATAGTCTGGTTAACAAAATGACAATAAAAACACTTATCACCATTAGTCCTTGATAAAATGATCATAGAAATGCTTATTACTATTATTCCAGTCAACAAAAAACTATAGAAACACTTATCACTGTAAGTTCAGTTAACAAAATGACTATAAAAATACTTATCAGGCATGGGAAATTTCCAATGTGATGATCTTCATAGTAATTATTTTTGAACAATGTATGATAGTATGACATACAAAGCATAAATACCAATCTTAACTTTTAAAAAATAATAGTTCAGACTTTAAACAAATTTATTTGTTATGTTGTATACTTTATTTCTATGCTAAAATCTTATTAGATAGTTAAATTTATATGAATTTAAACATATTTGAAAATAGCATTTTTAAATATAAAAGTTAAGATCTTCTTTTAGTTATTTTAATTTTAAACAATGTTTATTTTTTATAAGGTAGAAAGTAAAGCATGCCTAAAAGAAACTTATTAGTACAGAAACATTTTACTTGTAGTTTTCAGACATTTCTTAGAAGCAACTATTTATTAGGATAAGATAGTAAGTTTAAATTTGTATTTATTTAATCTTTTTATTAACAAAGTGTAGTTTTTTTTATTAAAAAAACTTTACTAAAGTAGGGTTCATGTTAAAAAGAAATCATATGAATCCATAAGCAGTGATTAGAGGTATGAACATAATTTTAAAGATGTAATAACACAAAAAAAAAGACTAACTAAGTTTGTATTTAAACTTTAAAAAATGTTTGAATAATGGTTTGTTCTAAGTCTTGTTTCTAAACAAATCTTAATAATTAACTGTTAAGCATAATTTAATTAATTGAAATCATATAAGAGTAGTAATTTCATTAATAAAACCTTTCATTTAGGAGAATACTTTTTTTAGTAGGTTGGAAATACTTTTTTTATTAGCAGGTTTAACTATTTATTTGAATTTATATAGGGAATTAAGTTAATTGTCTATTTAAGGTTGTAAAATTATTTATTTCTAGCAAATATTTGCAATATATTTATTGAATAATATTTATACATTTTATCAAATGTGTGATGCAGTAGATATGCAATTCAGATATCTGTCAATTTAATTTTATATCAAAATTATTATAAAGGATCTGAATATCTGTTAAATTTTAAATAAGAAAATAGATAACAGATTGTATCTTTATAGTGTAAAGTAAAAATCTTCAAATAAATATTTATTATTGTAGTAGACTTATAATATGATAAAATTATAACTTAAATATTTACTTATAGATTTTTATCACACAAATTATACATGATTCAAAAAGACATAGATATTATATAGATTTAATAGCTTTTCTTAGTTATTTAAATAAAGATCTATATTAATTTGTATAATAAAGTAAAAAAAAATTTCATTTAATTTAATTTCATTTTCATAATCTTGATAAAATTAATTTATTAAAATAGATTATACAGGCTCTTAACATTTATTCTGTATGCTTTATATTATTGTAACTTTATTAGAAAAAAAATTATATAGACTATAAAAGAGTACACTAATGTATTAGAATTTTTATAACAATTGTTTGCTTTACTTACTATAGCAACCACATATTTGTTTTGAATTAATAGTTTATTTAAATTTTCAAACAGTTTATTTTTATTTATTATTTAGTAAGTTTGCTATATAATTTATTATTCTTTTAAATAAATTTAGTTAATTATTTATTTGATTTTCAAGTGGCTTCTTTTTTTTGTTCATTGCTCAGTGAGTTTTTTTATTTAATATGAGATTAAAATTATAGTTAATTATTTTATTTAAATTGTAAATAATTTTAATTTCGACTTCTTTTAATTTAAGATTATTATTTTATTTAAATAATTACTTAATGTAGTTAATTTTTAATAAATAAGTTTTTATTTCTGTGAAGCTTCTAAGCACTAAGATAGAAGTTATTGTTGTTTGAACATAATTACTAATTTATTATAAAATAGCAGCCTATATGCTATATATCAGATATAAGTTTAAAGTAATTATAACAAAAATAGCTATGAAATATTTATATTTTAAGGATTATATTTGATAATAAACTTGTACTAAAAATGTTACTAAATGAGACCTGACTTTATTTCAAAACTTCTAACTGCTATATTAAATAAATATATATAAGTATCTAACAACTAATCAAATTTAAGTCTGGTCTTTTATCAGCTCAGATGATGTAAATACATAATCATAGTTGAAATGTCTTGTGTAGTATAAATTATTATTATATTTAATAAGGTTTTAGTTATTATCTGCAATATATTTAAGTAAAAATCTCTTTTGGGATTATTTAATATAAATAATAAGTTTAAATAAAATTTTAGCTAATCATATATATGATATGATATAATTATTGAGGATAAGTAAGCCAATTTATAAATATATTTTAAAAGATGGATTTATAACAACATTACTTAATCACTTTATTACTATATATTACCTAATTATAATAACTAATATTTATAATATATATTTTTATTTATATATATAATAAAAAATATTTTATTTACTAGCACCAGATTATAAAAAATACAATAAATTGATTATAGCAAATAGTTTAGGTAGTCCAATTATTTTTTTATTTTATTTATGCTATTTAATAAACTAGATTACAAACAATTTATTTTACTAATTAAAATTTTTGCCTTTAATCCATTAAGTGCAATATGTAATAACACTCATATTTAAACATTAAAGAATAAGCCATTAGATTAAAAAGCAAGAATCTTACTTACATAATTGCATTTTTTAATTAAGTGTACAGAAAAAGATGACAAGTGAATATTTAAGTTATTATTGTAACAGCCACTATAATAATAACTTAAATTTTCACTTGCAGGTTTTTCTTCTGCAGCACACTATTAATTCAATTTGGTTTTAACCTTAATAAAGTCCAAGTTATATTCAAAAAAAAAGCCTAGGACACAAAAGACCTATTTTTAAGCAATTAGAAAACAAAATACTGTTATTGCCAGCTCACATTATTCAACAAACCTAGCATATGCAAATTAAATATTTAATCATAAAGAAAACTTAGTTAATAATCAGTTTATTAAAAGGGTTTGTTTACTGAAAACTTGTTTATTATAACCAAATTAAATATGTTTGTTAAGATATATTAGTACTAAAATATAAATATTAAGTAGTTATTTTTGTTTGTTAACTAAATTTAAATGTTTTAGCTAGCTAATTATTGATAAAAACTATCTTTTAAGAAGTACATTAGTGAAGTAAATACTAATTACATTCTTATCTAATTTAGATTAACTTATTACAAAGATTTGAGCACTTCAACTTTATTTTAAGAATTTCTTTAAATTACAATATTAAAAAATTGGGTTAATAAAAAAATATTACAGTTCTAATTTTAAATTAAAAAATAAGTAAAAAAGTTGTACAATTATGAGTTACTATAGAAGTATTGTTACTAAAATATAAAATTTTAATATACAAATCAGATAATTAATGTGTTGATCTTACAAATAATAACTTTTCAAACCTCTATAAAGAGAAATGTTTTATGCCTAATAATAATATATTAATATATTAATTTCTATTATTTTTAATATATTTTTATTTGTGATAACTTCTATTTATTATTATTTAGTCTATAGTAATTTCTATTGTATCATCTTTGTTAATTTCTATTATTTTATTTTTGTTAATTTCTATTATTTTATTTTTGGTCAATCTTTATTACTTCATCTTTGTTAATTTCTATTACTTTATTTTTGTCAATTTCAATTACTTCATCTTTGTTAATTTTTATTACTTCATCTTTGTTAATCTCTATTACTTTATCTTTGTCAATTTCTATTACTTCATCTTTGTCAATCTCTATTACTTTATTTTTGTCAATCTCTATTACTTTATCTTTGTTAATTTCTATTACTTTATCTATGTCAGTCTCTATTACTTCATAGTTTTTATTACTTTATTTTTATCAGTCTTTATTGTTTCATTATTATCAATCTTTATTATTTTATTATTATCAATCTCTATTATATTTTGAAAACTTTCTTCTAGTATATTATCTTTATTTAATTTTTTATACTGGTATTATCAATATGATTAGAAATAATAGACTATAAACAGTTAGACATTTTATAATTTTCAGATCTATTAGAATTTAGTACAAGACATATTATTTTAAATAACTTTACCAAAATATTAGAATCTATATTATTCTACACTTCTGATATTAAATTACTAATTAACTTATAAGATACTTTTTTTATTTTTTTATTTTTTATTAAATAATGCTTAAGTAGAAATTTTATTATATATAGAAATATAAGTTCTAGATTTAAAGATTTTTAAACTACATTTGTGCTATAATTAGGTTCCAATATGACATTATACCTTCTATTTCCTATGAGTGCTATAGCTAACTATTTTAAATTAGATTTTAGCTAGAATAGGTTGAAGAAAACTTTCAAGTAATTGTCTGAACATTAAGTTATATAAGTTGTTAAAAAGTGACTCTATAAGAGCCATTTTATAATTAAAGAATTGATATTTATAGATTAAGAAAAAGTTTTAATATTGTTTAAAAGATTGGGTAGAGTTGATAAACTAATTTTGGTATATTTGAACTTTGATATAATATTGTAAGAGTTTTTGCATTAATGTTGATATATGTTACAAGTAGACCAAAAATTTTGTTTGTATTAATTAAGTAGATTGTTTAAGGGGTAAAGTAGAAAATTATTTGTTTATTTATTAATAAGTGTTTTGATGTTCTTATATATAGTAGTGAAATAAGTTCTAGTAATAGTATATAAAATATATTTGTATTAATAATTGAAGAGATAAAGTATAAAATTTAGAAGGATATTTCTTTATAAAAAATATATATTAAAATATTAATAAAAATTACAAAAAATATACAAAATATATAAAATATATACATAATAATAAGATTTATATACTGAATTATTCTTTATACACATTCTTAACAACATTATCGAAAAAGCTTCTTGTAATTCTAAACAGCTTTGGCTCCTATCTCAGGACATGAGCAAAGCTTATGACTCTGTAGACCTAACA